TTACTTATACATATGTTATTACTGCAATTAAATATTAATATCAATTAGCAACTAAATACATATACATGTACATATTCGTTGAGTAGTTAATAGCAGAAAGCCAACCTTTTAGCATCATTGCACAGCCATACGGTGCTCATGACCGCATTTCTAAAACTGCAGCTGAAATTGTGCGCGAAACCGCAATTAAAATTTTGCAATTGTCCGCCAAATGACACAAATTCGACAATTGTTACATTTTTCCATGAATATTAACAAATAATTTTTGAATATTGTATCCCTTCTTCTTTTTTTTTAATTATACAATTCGTTGGACATGAATTTGACGTAAATGACAAATTATCACAGTGAATGCCGCCAAATCCAGCGGCATTAAAGAGCTAAATATGTACATATATACAATATTAAATAGTACAAGCATTCATGTTTACAACTACAGCAATTCACGCGTATTAATGTATTTCATCTCTGATGTTTATTTGTAATATTTATGTACTTTGCTCGCTCCTAAAATCTTCCTTTTATTTATTTTGGCCACCTTCTGATGGATTTTAAATATTCAAGACTACTTGTGAAAGTGTCACATTGAAGATTATAAGCTTTTCACAGTTGAACTGTAGCATAAATACCAGAAAAATAAATCTGCTACGAGCTGTTAGTGGTTTGTTAATGGAAATAATTATTATTTTTTCATTGGCAAACACCAATGTGGTGGACACACTTTATAATACTATTTGTGATTTTTGAGCTTTTAGCGATCAACTGGGCTTCGTTGGCTTATTTAATAATGAAAGCGTTTGCCCATTACACCCAATCGTGAAGCAGCCTCACAAAGGTTATTTTTTTCTTATTCAACGTCTACTATTTTCGGTACTGTTAATTGTTAATTTTAAATTGTTTACTTTAAGGCGCTGCCGTGTTGCACTTTGTATAAAAAAAAGTTTCATTCCGTTTGTAAAAAATTACCTTGCAGCTTTAAAAGCGCCATGCTGAAAGCTTTCCTGTTGTGAGACTGTGATCTTGGTAAACTTTATACCAGCGATGTGCAGAGAGAGGTTTTACTCAGCACGCGCCTATACAAAATGTAAAGAAAGCTTAAAAGAGCTTTTCCCGCTATACTATAAAGTTTATAGTTAAAGCATTATAGGCATAGTGTTGAAAAAACTTTAACCGTTCGAAACTTTTAAAATCTAATTATAAAAGTCGTACATATTTACACATATACATATGTATATACGTAAATCATGGATGTTTAGAGCGAGCTTTTACTTTACATATCTACGCCCCTATAAAATCTACAGAAAGCTTTAAAGCCCACGGGCGCTGTTTTGAGCATCACTAAGGTTAATGTGTATGTAGAGTGGGCATTTTCCATCTGCATAGCAGCTGTTCGCTATAAACTATTTCCGCATGAGTATCTTCATACATACACAGACTTGAAGCCAATACTATATTAAAACTAATCACAGGGAATATTTCGATGCTAAATGTTTTCCAAGTGGCTTTTTATTATTCGTCAATGTTCGATTTTTTATTTATAGTCTTTTTAATCTTTTATATATAAGCTGAAATAAATTTGATTCATTTATTAACATGTGGGCGTTTTCCAGATACTAAATATAGAAAGGTAAAGGAAACAACAACTATTGAAAGCGAAATAGTAGATATCAAAAAAAATTTAAAAAATTAGCTAAGCTGGAAGGAGATGCTATGATGGTCTTTCGGCAAGACCATCTTAAATGGTGCTACACTCAGAGAACTGATCAAGTTAAATATGTAAGTCTAATTCTGGATAGGATATTGAATTGGCAAAGGGATCCTACACNCCGCATGAGTATCTTCATACATACACAGACTTGAAGCCAATACTATATTAAAACTAATCACAGGGAATATTTCGATGGTAAATGTTTTCCAAGTGGCTTTTTATTATTCGTCAATGTTCGATCTTTTATTTATAGTCTTTTAATCTTTTATATATAAGCTGAAATAAAATTGATTCATTTATTAACATGTGGGCGTTTTCCAGATACTAAATATAGAAAGGTAAAGGAAACAACAACTATTGAAACCGAAATAGTAGATATCAAAAAAAATTAAAAAAATGAGCTAAGCTGGAAGGAGATGCTATGATGGTCTTTCGGCAAGACCATCTTAAATGGTGCTCACTCAGAGAACTGATCAAGTTAAATATGTAAGTCTAATTCTGGATAGGATATTGAATTGGCAAAGGGATCCTACACCAGGGCTATTAGAAAAACCTGGGGTCTGGAGGCCAAAATTGTAACGTGGATCTACAACGCGGTGGTAAGACAGATTCTTTTCTACGGTGTATTAGTTTGGTGCGATGCTCTCAGTACAAGGTAAACGACAAAAAAAATGCGCAAAATCAACAGCTGTCTTTGAGATACTCTCAGTACAAGGTAAACGACAAGAAAATGCGCAAAACTCAACGGCTGGCTTTTCTAGTGGTAACGGGAGCCATGAAGACAACAGCCTCTAAAGAGCTGAATACGCTACTAAAATCTCTCCCGATAGATACGTATGCAAGAAAGATGGCATGTAAAAGCATAAACAGACGGCAGCGTTGATCCATATCAACTCGGGAATTAACTGCAGTTGATCCGGATTAAGTCCGAGTTAATCCGGATCAATGCTGCCGTCTGTTTAAGGTTTAACCCTGCCAATAGGCTTAACTAGACCAAGAAATGGAGGCATTCACATATCGCTCACTGTAAAATTTCGAACGATCTTACTCAGTTTCCTATAACCGATTACAATCCCCCACAATACATATCGCCGTTTAAAGTACATAACCGCGTATCGTCATTCTGCAAAATCGCGTAACTGACATTTGTCACACAAGTTCTTGGCTCAATCCTTTTCCATTCTTCCTGAAATATACTAGCCAGAAATGCGATTGCTTTATAAAAAAAAGGAGAACCATTTTGAAATATGAGTGTTTTTAGTCTCTAGAAAATAATTTATGCAACCTCACATACGCGGTTTCGTATTTTGTTCATATGCGGTTTTGTACTTTAAACGACGATATGGGAACTCGTTTTTCGTTGTAAGGGCATAAAGAAACAGCTGATCAGAATTCACGTCAAAAAGACATTTTATTTCATTCAATTTCCCATGTCTTACATCGTTTAGTGCAATTTGTGTTAAAAAAGTAGGTATTTGAGCTAAGTTTTTGGAGAGTTGTTGTATAACAAAAGACCTTCCCTTTGAGATGCCAAAGCGAACCGCAATTCATAAAAATTGTCATTGGAAAATGGCGAAAAGAATCGACTCGGCATATTGCTAAAACACTCTGGCCAGCCATAGACGCTGAATGTACTAAGTCTGTACTTATTCTAAGGAGGTAANCGTATTTTGTTCATATGCGGTTTTGTACTTTAAACGATGATATGGGAACTCGTTTTTCGTTGTAAGGGCATAAAGAAACAGCTGATCAGAATTCACGTCAAAAAGACAATTTATTTCATTCAATTTCCCATGTTTTACATCGTTTAGTGCAATTTGTGTTAAAAAGTAGGTATTTGAGCTAAGTTTTTGGAGAGTTGTTGTATAACAAAAGACCTTCCCTTTGAGATGCCAAAGCGAAGCGCAATTCATAAAAATTGTCATTGGAAAATGGCGAAAAGAACCGACCTGGCATATTGCTAAAACACTCTGGCCAGCCATAGACGCTGAATGTACTAAGTCTGTACTTATTCTAAGGAGGTAAGGCCTTCGCATAGTGACTGGAGTTCTCACCGGACATGGCTTGATTGGATTATACTCAGCTAGACTAGGCGCACTGTGGAACAACTATTGCAGAAGTTGCATGGATGATCAGGAGGAAGAAACCATGCAACATCCCCTCTGTCTTTGCCTGGTGCTATCAAAACGGTGTGGAAAAGCACTTTTCAGTTATTTCTTCAATGATCTCGATCGTTTCCGCGAACGCGATAAATGCAGACTTCATACGGTATCATAAAGGTCTCTGAGTCTAAGTAAGACCACAGAGGACTGTCGCCCATCTTAACCCAACGTAGTGCTTTAAAATTTCAGTTCTGAATAAGTACGAAATTATTATTATTATTGAAGGGGATATGGCACTGCGACCTTCTTTATGTATTTATGGTGTGTCTTTTAGCCCAGTACCCGAATATGACAGAAACTTTAGTATTGAACCTAAATCTCTGGATTTCACTACGCTATGGGTTATTAAATAATAATGCAAAATTAACTCTCGAATTCGGAGCTGGTCTGATTTGTTTCTGATAATGAAGTTTAATTCTGATCTTTGATGTTTTCAGAAGCTTACTGAAACATTTTATGAAAAATATTTTTGTTGAACATTTAAATAGCAGGCGCTTTTCTATAAAGGGACAAGAAGGAGAAGAAGAAGATGTTCAACAAAAAAAATTCTCCGTTGTATTTTACACAGAACTACTAAAAAAAAATGTGTATCTAAAATTTAGAAATCACATGGCATAGGAGCCAATGTATAAAAAGTATGTGGAAGAAGAAGGAACTTTAATCCCCCCTCCCCCCTAAAATAAAAATCAACTGTAGCCTTTATCTATTGAATCCATTGTCGGAATCTTTTTTTATTTATAAGGCAGTGACGAGAAATAATTACTCTTAGTTCCACAAGGAAGAAGACACCAATTTTCATTTAACTTATTTGTATACATTCTTACACATAACATTTTTATACGTTTGTACATTTCACGCCTAAAGTGTTGCTCAAAATTTATATTTAAGGGATTAAAAGAAATTTTTTTCTGTTGGAAGGTATCTTTCTATTCGTAAGCGTGAGCCATTTGGTGTTTACCATTCTTACCATTTCTTAACTTCTGTACACATATCTGTGCATAGAAATGGAAATAATTTTTAATATTTTATGTAAAAAAAAATAAATAAAATTGCAAAAATTTATATCTAAATATATTCATAAAATACAAATTAAATATATATATAAGATTAATAATGCATTCATAAGTTACCTGCTGCTGAGCTTGTAATGAGCGAGGCGTCTTCGTTCTCGGAGCATATTGTTGCATTAGGTTCCCCCACAAAAGTGCGAATAAAAATAAAATTGCAAGAAACCAATGGCAACCAAAAGAAGAGAAGAAAATTGAAAATAAACAAGTAAACGAAAAAAAAACAAAAAAAAGTACGTAAAATGAACAAACGGAAATGAATGATTGGAATGGTTTTGAAAGAAATGGAATAGGAATAAATAACAATAACAATAACAAATCCAGATCCAAATCCAAATAAATATTAGAATGAGAATGGGAAATGGCGCAGCATTTGACGAAAGAGAAGAAGTATAAAAATTGGAAAATAAGCGCTAAGTTTATTCCATTTTGTCTTCTAGTATTTGAGAAATTGTTTATAAATGCTTAAATTGTTTATTTGTTTTATTTGATTTTTGTGTAGTAAGTAAGTATGTGTTTTTATTATTGCTTCATGCTGATATTCTCTTAGCGTCAAGTTTACAAAATATTGCTCATTTATTGCGACATACAGTTTTGCCATGTGCGTTAGAGGATTTAACGGTTTACAAATTTTGTTTTTTTTTTTTTTGTTTTTTTATTTCCTGTCAGCAGAAAAATTATTAAAAATAAACGCGATTTATTAGCCTCTTCAAATTTGTACATTGTTATATTAAAGTTGAATAGGCTAGAAAACCAGAAATTTCAAAAAAAAAATGATCTGGGTAAAATGATTTAAGTTTTAATGAGAATTTGTAAAATTGTCCTTATTTTGTGTACAATTTGAAACTTTTATTTATATGCTTTTCTGTATAGCATGAACCATATTTAAAGTACGCAGATATATTGGAGTGAGAGTACAAAAATATCGGGCTAGGTAAGGAAAGGTGTATCTCACGAAACCGTTGATCAAAGGCCATGTCACCATCTACCGTTCACCATACCAACTGTGTGAAATAACTCTTCTTACAGTTCGCACTATAATTATATTTGAATACCACTTCAAAAGAAAGTATATCATACATTTTTAACATAGTCGGATAGGGATTTGGGATATAAAATAGATCTCAGGTTGACCTTATGGCGATTTCATTTCTACCAAAAAATGTTGCCCTTCCACGGTGCAAAATGTCTTCGATGTTACACTCAACTCTGTAAAATTACATTTTTTTGCCTTCTTGTCCTAGTCTAGCTCACGCAATTTATAGTACTGTCGTTTTAAGCAACCATCTGATTTTCAGGACAACCATCTCCCCTGACGAAGTTTCAAAGGGCAGAGAATGTGCCTGTTTTCCTTACAAGAGTGTGACAAATTTTCGCACCGTTTGCCTTTATTTAATAATCGAACACGAAAAGGGAATAAAAGAGTTTTATGCAATAGATTCTACTCAGTTGCAATTAAATTTTATTAAATAAGGGTAAACTTTTTTGTGGTATGCAGTTATAATAACCCATAGTTTATAAGTATTTTCCATATGTACATTAGGTTCGTATTCGTGTATAATTTTAATTACCGTTATCACAAATAATAGTATATTCAATAGTTAATATTAAATTATTTGGCTTCCGACTGCTGCAGTGTCAGTAATTTTCAACAAAAAGCTACGCTAACAACTTGGTGGTAAAAACCGTAAACATGTAGAAGCTATTTCCACGTTATATCACAGCCCACAAGATCTTGTGGCATTAAGCTATCTTTAATTGTAGAATACGCATCAGAATTAGAGACTTTGAACATTTATTCTACCCTTAAACACGTCAAGATAAAATGCTAAAAAGTAATTGCAAAAAAATGAAAGGGAAAGGCACTGGGAATTCAAAAAATATCGGATTTTTTCGATAAAAAATAAAATTACTAAGTACGGAGGAAAATTTTCGTATTGAACATTATTTATAAACCATGGAGTGGAAAAATAGAAGTGGAAAATAAGGTTCCAGTTTTTTAATTAAAAGATTTTATTTCCTGTCTTTTAATTGAAGCAATAAAATAAATAAAATAAAACAAAACCTTTTAATATACCACGCTTCTATAAATGGAATAAAAAGTAAAAAATAATATTGCGCTGTCCCATAGAATTACTTTCGATAACTTTTGATTTTGAAATTTTAACAAAAGTCCTGATAAACAATTTATGAGAATGAAGATGAAGGAGACATCTACCTCAAGTGTTGCTAATTACTCGTATATTTTCTTTGATATGATATCTACCGATGAGCTTAATGTCTAGACTAGTTTTTATGTAAACTTTTATTATAGCAAAGGCGGCTGGATAACAATAAATCAAGTTGATAAAATCGTGGTAATAATAAGAACCACGTTGCTAAAACAAAAGCGCAAAACCAAAATCAAATAAAGCAGTTCCATCAACTGTAGAACCTAGAAAATTTTACTTGGCAAAATTTTAGTATTATACGAGGAAGATTACAAAAAATTTTATTCAAATATTGCTATTTTTTAAAAGTGCCAATTTGTCTAATTATTCCAAAGGAAAATCTAGGTGCCATTTGAAATCACATTGGACCAAAAATGGCACGGTTTGAGTCAAAATGGCAGTCCTGCATGCATCACCGTTTGTGAAAATTCGTATCCTCGCATTGATGTCTTCGCTGCGGATGTTCAATGACAATTCTGGCAGCAGCAAAATCAGGCACACCGACGCACATCCGTTACCACATCCGCACAAATACAGGCATTTCCTTGATCTCCAACCTTACGTCATCAACAGCAGTCAGCCTCTCGCACTTAATTAGAACTGCATACCTGCATACTTGCATTTGTGAGTGTATGCGAGCACGCGTTCCACATATTGTACTTACACATTCACATTTCATTGATTATCGATTAAATCATCAAGTACCAACCAAATAATCAGTTAACGCCTCCCTATAGTTACATATTGTCAACAAGATACCCTCCGCTAATACATATCTGCGTTTTAACGGTATAAACATATTTATGTACATACAGGGCCGGCCTTAACCAATTAGGCACCTGAGCGAATCATGCATTAGCGCCGATATATATTTAATAATAAAAAAATTATTTATTTTAAGATCCGAGCCATACTTTTATGGAAAGAATACTAACATGAACATATTTACAATTATTAATAACAACGTGCGACAAAAACCAAAAAATATAAAACACATGAAAATATGAATATTCTTACGAAACTAAGGACCATGTAAAGTAAAACTGCGTTTTTATTTTTTCTGTCTGACGTCAAGATTTGTTTTAAAAGGAGTTTGAAATTTCAAGGTCTTGATTTAATTTTCAATTCTAAACATTTTTCTGCTTTTTTTGATACGCATAATGTTATTTAACCTTACACTTTTTATTAGTCAAAGCTTTTTTTTTTAATTAGTCAAAGCTTTTTAAAAAATTCTGTCATCTGAGAGAAGAATTAAAAATGCAGTTCTGCTACATTTTGTCCCCAGTTTCGCGAGTACTTATCTTGATTTTTTTTTGTGTGCAAAATTTGCAGTCGCACGGTATAATAAGTTTTCGTATCAGCAAGATAAAAAACTAAAACCAGATTTTGCTTGCTTTTTTGTCAGAAAACTTTTTGGTAAAAGTGATGAAATCTAGATTTTCTGCAATTAGATTTTAGATGGACATCGAGGCCAAGCTACTTAATCTTGTTTAAGACTTATAGAAAAACTATGTTAACCAGTTTCAACAAACACTGTTATACCGCCTGTTCGGAGATGCACCAATGCAAAGCATCAGTCTCTTTTATTTCTAAACTCCAACTAATGGAAATGTTCAAAATTCTCAACCAGGGTTAAGTGCCGAAACCGTAACAGATTTAAGGTTGGCCCATTAGCCTATATTGTGATACAAAACAGTGTCACAATAGTTACTCATAATTTTGATTTCTGTTTATGTCGAAATAGTTTATTTATCGTCCAGACGAGCATTATAAAACTCTACTTGAAACTCTTTACGCTTCAGCCGGTCTACTTTAATGCGTCTTGCATAATGCTAGTATTCAATAAATCAAACTCATCTCAAGTCAATAAATTTGATCCTATGAATTAGTGACTCGTTTTGTGACTTGAGATGGGTTTGGTTTATTAGTTGCCATGGCCGAGTAAGCAGAGCACTAAAATGCGCTCGAGAGATCCGAGTTCGAATCCTCGGACAGCGGATTTTCTTCTTTTCTATTTAACTGTTTTTTTTTTTAATTTTTTACATACATATGTATGTATGTTTAAAAAAAAAAATTTGTTTCATTGAATTCTTAAGATAAAAAAGTATTTGAGTATATTTCCTAACGTAATTTTTGTTAAACAAATATTTCCTCGCTTCATTTTCGCGTTAAGTAAAATAGAAAGCAAAATTATTAGGTTTGCTCCACACGAGCCCCGTGGGTGCCCAAAACTGCTCAGAAAACGTTCCTCACGCTATAGAAATGGGTAATAGAGAGCGAATACCTTTCAGTTTTCTTCTCCATTTACGAAACAGCCCGCACTTTTTTTCTGGACAGAAATGTGCAAGAATGCAATTTGAAATAACAGCTGTTGTTTGCTTACAAACTTCCAAAAACAAATTTTGTAAAATACAAAAACATAAATAGCGCTAAAGTTTCCGAAATATAGGTATTTGCTAACTTTATTACCCGTATACGATAAATACACAAAAAAAATTAGTGTTTCAAGCTGGTTTGTTGATTCCGGGCACGAAATGTAGTTTTATGTGTTCCTCATGCTCTGGGCACTTTTAAAACATTTTTGACAGTTATGAAAGAAAGCCTATGGAACAAACCTATTATATCCTCCATATTTTTTTCGTTTGCGAATTGCTCGAGCCAGCTGAGAAACTAGTGATTTTTTTTTTAGTCTAGAGACGTGAGACAGAGTACTGAATACCAAACGGTCCCGAAAACGATGTTCACCACGAAAAGTTGCGAGAGAGTGACTAGAGACTGCTTACCAAGGTTAGTCGTGTTTGGGGTTTGATAAATGGCTGCGTCTCAAATTCCGCGCAGCACAACGTTTATATGAAAGCATCAATTACAGGGTAACATTTGTGCAAGAACAGCAACTGAGTTACTGTCACTTCCAAGCCCAAAAAAATTAA